ATAAAAACTGCTCTCTCCTCCCTTTCAGAGAAAGACCTGCTAGTTCTTCTTACCTTAGAAGAAGGTCTCAACTCACTCAATCCTGTAAAGTGCCCCTAAAAATTCATCAGGGTATATGCCTGTGGGTAAGCAGATGATTATTTGTTAGTTATTATTATAAATAATCTCTCATCCAGGGTAAGCAGCTATTCTTAGCTAAAAAGCCTATTTTCTTCGTAGTTAACCTAATAAGGATTTGACTTCAACTAAAGTTTCTCCAAACATACACACAAATGCCAAAGACTATTTGGTAATGGTACAGCAGGTACTCACCCACATGTTGGAGAACTAGGCCTTGGTGTAGAGACTTCAAATACATGCTGTAATTTTTTTTTCTTGGGTACTGACTTTTTTCCTAGGGTCCACTGTCCCTAAAGGATGGATATGAATTATGGATATGAATGTGGAAAGATGGAACAGAGTTGGAGAGAAGTGATACCATGGGTACCATGGCAGAGGCAGCCCCATATGTAGCAGGAGTCAGAGAACATGGGTCTAGCTGCCCCTTCACCAGTGCTCACTGAATGACTGGGATAATTTTCTACTCATCTATAAAAATGGGGCCCATAATAGAAACTATTTCATAGGTCTGGTGTGAGGATTAAGTGATGTATTAAAGCAGTTAGTACACTCTCTGGTATAAAGTCCTCAATAAGTAAAGTTACTAGAAGAAAATTAAGAGAATGTTCTGTCTGCCCAGACTGTCATTTAATCTTAAAAATTAAGAGCTGTGCTAAAAACTTGTGAAGAATAACATAACTTGTTAAAACCAATCTAACTTTACCGAGAGAGGCTCAATGGATTGGCTACCTGAGGCCACCATTTCTTTTTCCATCCTAATCATCTTTAACTTAGTGCTTTCGGGAAGAGGAAGATTTCTCTGTGGATGCAGTATACATGGTCACTCCTATTTAGCAAAACCAAAAAGATAAGGAGGTTAGTGTGACTTAGCCCATCATCTCTGGGACAGCAGAATCTAAGAAAACAAACCTGTATGTCAAAACCTACTGGTGGCAAAGACTTTAGAAAAGGAACATGCAATGTTGGCAGAGTGTGGAGAGAGAAGCCACTGCAGACAATACTGATGGGGCATAAACTGATAAAATTTTCTGGAACAATTTGGCAGTGCACATCAAAGGTCTTTAAAAATACGTTTGTTTGGGCACCCGGCTGGCTCAGTCGGTAGAGCATGTCACTCGATCTTGGAGTTTTAAGTTGAAGCCCCACACTGGGGGTAGAGTTTACTTTAAAAAAAAAAAAAAAAATGCTTAAGTTTTGACCCAGCAATTTGTCCTAAAGAAAGAACAAAAGGCTAAGCCCCCAAACTTAGGAACAAATACATTCCCTGATAAATTATTAACAAGCATCTTTTCCAACCACAGTGATAGGAAACTGGAAACCAATTACAAGAATAAAACTGGAAATTCAAAAAAATGTGGAGATTAAACATGCAACTGTGAACAACCAATGGGTCAATAAAGAAGTCAAAGGAGAAATAAAAAATACATTGAGATAAACAAAAAATGCAAATACAACACACCAAAATGTATGTGATGCAGCGAAAACAGTTCTGACAGAGGTTCATAGTAATACAGGCCTACCTTAAGAAGCAAAAAAATCTCAAACTATCTAATTTCATACCTCAAGGAACTAGAAAAAGAAGAACAAGCAAAGACCAAAGTTAGAAAGAAAAAATAATAAGAAATAAATGAAACAGAGACTAAAAACAAGAAAAAAGATCAATGGAACTGATAACTGGTTTCTTTCAAAATATAAATTGACAAACCTTTAGCTAGACTTACCAAATCCATAAAATCAGAAGACTTTACAAAGATACCCCAGAAATACAAAGGATGTTAAGAGACTATTATAAACAATTATATGCAAATAAAATGGACAACCTAGAAGACATGGGTAAATTCCTAGTGATATACAACCTTCCAAGACTGAATCATGAAAAAACAGAGACTCTGAATAGACTGATTACTAGTAAGGAGAGTGCATCAGTGATCAAAACCTCCAACAAATCAAAGCATAGGACCAGATGGCTTTCTGGGTGAATTCTACCTAACATTCAAAGAATTAATACTGATCATTCTCAAACTCTTCAAAAAAAAAAAAAAAAAAACTGAAAAAGAGAGGATGATTCCAAACTCATTTTATGAGGCCAGCATTACCCTAACGAATATCAGATAAGAACACCACAAGAAAAGAAAATTACAGGACAATATCCCTGATAAACATAAATGCAGAAGTCATAAAAACATACTAGGAAACAAAATTTAACAATACATTAAAAGAATCATATACCATGATCAAGTAAAATTTATTCCAGGGATGCAAGGATGGTTCAATCACCACAACTATACCACATTAACAAAATGAATGATAAAAATCATATGATCATCTTAATAGATGCAGAAAAAACATTGCACAAAATTCAACATTCATTTATGATAAAAACTCTCAACAAAGTGAGTATAGAGGGAACATACCCTTTATAATAAAGATGATAATATGACAAGGTGATATATGACAAGCCCACAGCTAACACCATGCTCAATAGTGAAAAGCTGAAAGCTTTTCCTCTAAGTTCAGGAGTAAGACAAGGATGCCACTCTCACCATTTTTATTCAAAACACCATTGGAAATCTTACCAAAGCAAGAAGGCAAGAAAAAGAAATAAAGGTACCCAAACTGAAAAGGAAGAAATAAAACTGTCACTATCTATGGGTGACATGATTTTAAATATAGAAAACCCTGACGACTTCACAGAAAAATATTAGAATAAATGAATTCAGTAAAATTGCAGGATACAAAGTTAATATACAAAAGATCTGTTGTGTTTCTATACACTAACAACAATCTATCACAAAAAGAAATCAAGGAAACAATCCCATTTACAACTGCATCAAAAAGAATAAAATAAGACACTGATGAAAGAAATCAGAGATGACACTAACAGATGGAAAGATATTCTCTGCTCATGGATTAGAAGAATAACGCTAAAATGTCCATACTAGGGGTGCCTGGGTGGCTCGGTTAAGCGTCTGCCTTTAGCTCAGGTCATCATCCCAGGGTCCTGGGATCGAGCCCCACATTGGGCCCCCTGCTCAGTGGGGCATCTGCTTCTCCCTCTCCCTCTGCCCTCTGCCCCTCTCCCTGCTCATGCTCACTCTCTCTCTCTCTCCAATAAAATCTTTTAAAAAAATAAAATGTCCATACTACTCAAAGCCATCTACAGATTCAATGCAATCCCTATCAAAATTCAAATGGCAATTTTCAAAGAAATAAATGATAGGAAAGTCTGTATGGAACCACAAAAGACTCTGAATAACCAAAGAAAACTTAAGAACAAAACTGGAGGCATCACACTCCCTGATTTCAAACTGTATTACAAAGCTACAGTAATCAAAACAGTATGATATTAGCATAAAAGCAGACAGATCAATAGAACAGAAAAGAGAGCCCAGAAATAAACCCACACTTATATAGCCAATCAATCTATGACAAAGAAGGCAAGAATATACCACGGGGAAAAGACAACCTCTTCAACAAATGGTGCTGGGAAAACTGGACAGCTACATGCAAAAGAATGAAACTGGACCACTATTTTATACCATACACAAAAATTAATTGATTAGAGAACTGAATGTAAGACCTGAAACCATAAAACTCCTAGAAGAAAACATTGGTGGTAAGCTCCTTCACACTGACCTTGGCAATGATGTTTTGAATCTGACCCCAAAAGCAAAGGCAATAAAGCAAAAACAAACAAGTGGGACTACATCAAACTAAAAAGCCTGTGCACAGCAAATGAAATCATCAACAAAATGAAAAGGCAACCTACTGAATGGGAGAAAATATCTGCGATATGTGCATTTGGAATATTACTCAGCCCCCAACCCCCAAATGGAATCTTGGCCATTGCACCATCATTTATGGACCTGGAAGGCATTATGCTACGTGAAATAAATCACAGAAAGACAAATACTGTATGATCTCACTTATATGCAGAATCTAAAAAAAAAAAAAAAAATTTCCACCCCCCCCCCCCCAAAACAAAATAAACAATAAAACCCAAGCTCATAGATACAGAGAACAGACTGGTGGTTGCCAGAGGAGGAGGGTACAGAGGGTAGGGGAAGTGGGTGAAGGGAGTCAAAAGGTACAAACTTCCAGTATTAATATAAGTAAGTCATGGGGATGTAATGTACAGCATGGTGACTACAGTTAAAAATACTGTAGTGAATATTTGAAAGTTGCTAAGAGAATAAATCTTAAATACCCTCATCACAAAAAAAAGTTTTGTAACTATGTATGGTGATGGGTGGTAATTAGACTTAGTGTGGTGATCATTTCACAGTGTACACAAATACTGAATCATTATGTTGTACACCTGAAACTATTTTAATATTATGTCAATTATACCTCAATAAATTTTTAATTAAAAAATAACATGACACATGCATATAAGGGTAGCTATACAGGTATTAAATGTTATAGAAATATATTGAGAATATGAAAAAAGTTCAACATATATTCGTATCATAGTTTTAAAAAGATTACAAACCACTTAAATTCTCCTTTTAAAAGTAATAGGAAACCAACTCAAGATAGCTCAGAGAGAAAACAGAGTAAGAGTATTACTGGGATAATGGGATGAAATATGGGTGAGCTGCTGGGCCTCATACAGGAAATGGAAAGCTATTAGGATATTTTTTATGTGTTTCATCCTACTTGTGCACTTTTATCATTTAATGAGCCAAGTCTAAGTCTGCTATGGCTAGATGACAACTTGTACCAGTGTGGTCTTAAGGGGCCCAAAGAGATGAGGCTTGTGAGAGCTAGATAAACACCCCCACAGAACCTATTACAAGAATGCGGAAGGGAAACTTAACTTTTTAATTTTAGGATAAAAGTTGTCTTCCTAGAAAATTAATAGAAACATATAAGCCAAATTTTAATAGCAGTTATTTATTGGTATAAAATTACGAGCAACTTTATCTTCTTTTGCTTATATTTTCTAAAGTTTATGTTGAAGTATGTATTAATTGTAGTTTTAGAAGCTAAACTATCAGGCCATTATGACATAATGCTAAAGGAGGGAAAATAAGATTAAAAAATCCACACTGTTTATATTCCTTAATTCTCTAAAAAAATGTATGCATAGAAAAAGGATGGAAAAATACAATAAAACATTGGCAGTGATATCCCTAGATGACAGAATTATGTATTATTTTTTTCTCATTTATTATTTTCCAATTGTTTTCTAACAGGTATATATGACTTTCAAACTAGAAAAAATTAGTTTGAGGAATGTGTATGACCAGTGGACTGAGTTTCTGTGTAGACTATAATATTGTAGGAACTACTATGACCAGATAAAAGACAGTGATTTTTGGCTGAAGAAACAGCTGAAGAATACCATAAACTGCTACCAGTAACAACTACTCACAACTATGATTTGTCTTGAGATAATCTTGAGATACACTGGCCTACAAAATATCGACTGAGTTCTGGAGGAATTCTAGGATTACATGTAAGGGCTATTTTAAATAACTAAAGAATTAAAAAATAAAATTTGCATGCTATGATTCTACAAATTGTAACTTAGTATAAATGTAGAGAAAATAATATTCAGACTAATCTTATACAAGTATATGAAACATTACTAACTTGAAGAGGATTAACTATTTTTTGTCCTATTAGAGAAAAAATGGGTTTTAGTGGCAGGAAGGTTTTAACTACCCCATCAGCCATACAAGCCCAGAAAGATATAAGCTGATGGGGCACCTGGCTGGTGCCTCAGTCCACAGAGCATGCTACTCTTGATCTCTGGTTCCTAAGTTCAAGGCCTACATGGGGTGTAGCCATCACTTAAGTAGATAAAAAAAAAAAAAAATTAAAAATTAAAAAAAAAGATAAGCTGAAAAATAAATCAAGATTTAGATAAACATAAAATTTAACACTCATTACACTGCTACATGGTGGCTCCTATCTCCCTTGCCATTTGAAAATATAAACAGTGCTAAAGAAAACTCTACAGGTTGAAGGCTTTGTCTTACCAAAACCACAAAGTTAAACTGTAAATATGAAACTGACAGGAAGGGTAAGAACACTAGAGAAGGGTCTTTCCCTATTTTCCTAGAATCTTTAAAGATATTTATCTAGCATAGATTAGTGGCAATGTCTGGTTTAGAAAATTTCTATAGATTTCTTTCTAGCTCTCTCTGTACTGCGACAAAGCCCTAAAAGTAAGGTTTTAAAACACCCATCAATACAAAAATGTACGCTGTTTTATAAAATGTACCCAAAAATTCTAGTGGAAATACTTTACTTTCCATAATATTTAACAATTGAGATGTAACTTTTTAGTTTAATAAACAAGTTTTCAAAACAACTCCAATGTTTTACACTATATTATTCTACTCTAAATAAATTTATACTATGGTACTTGAAAATCTATCAAAGTAAGGCATTTTTTTATTTTTAACAATTATTTTTACATTAACCACTTTTATTTCACTTCTAAAGCTCTTAATCACATGGAATCAAAAAATCCCTCTAAACATTTTCCTTAAAGGAAAAATGGAAGGAAATACAGTGAAATGGTGTTTGACGGCCACAGTAATTCTAATGGGGGAAAATGTGCAAAACTGTAACAAACTCTGCATATAAACAGTTTAAACATAGATTTTTACCAGTAAAGACATAAAATTAAATGCTAATGTGTCAGCATTTTCAGAAAAAGACATAGCAATAACCATAAAAGCATTATGCTAGTACAAATAAGTTACAGAAACTAATAAACTCAATTTAACATAAATTCCCCATAAAATGTAAACTATACATTAGCTCAACATGATTTATAGAAGAAGATATATCCAATAAAAATCCAAACTCACTTTTTGGATAACACCCAGAAAATTAAAAATGCTGGTCCTATTTTAATTTAACACATATTTCTCAAAATAAGATTCAACATGAACATTTTAGATTTTTACATCCTCTTTAGATAACCCAGGTGAAAAATCCAACAACAAACAAATAGATACTTTCATCAGTACATAAAACAGCAACAGGTAGCTAGGTCAGGAAACAGAACACAAGTTCAAGCTAATCAATACAATACTAGTACAGAAGCATCCATTTTAACCCACAAGGAAAAACTTGAGCCACAAAACACGTTTTCCATTTTGAATCTCACTAACTTCTAGATACTATGTGTATTTTGACCTTGAAGTGATCAAAATATGAGTGAAGCTCATGTTCCATCACCTAAAAGGTCTAATTCAACAGAAAAATTGTCATTTTATGTTGCTCAATTTTTAATGAAGCCTTTTATATTATTTTGTTCAGCACATGATAGAATTATACATAGATTCTTTAAAAATCAAATGTGAAATTTCTATATACATAAAGCCCACAGCATAATCTCTACCTCTGAAATGCTAACATCGTGTTTAAAATTAGACAAACTAACATCCAGTAAACAGCATTTTATTTTATGACACTCTGTGTTAATACAATAAATATACAAAACTTCCAAACCACTGAAAACATGCAACATTAGAGGGACAGATGGAGGGCATTTATATAGAACCATGACGCTCATTATGATGGCAGCGCAATATTACTCATTGACAAAATATACAAACATCCCTAGATAAATAATCCAAGTCCCAAATTACAAATCACTGAGCAATGATTTTCCAGTGTTCAAATTTTAGTTTTAAATAAAATAGCCACAATTTAATATTGCAAACTGAAAAAGGACACGAATGCTTACAACAATGAAGACCATTTCATGACTGTGATACTGGGTCATGTTAGTATTAAATATAAAACATTAAAAAATGCCAATCTCTTGCTGGAAAATGTGACCATTTACTCATTATTGTTAGGAGAACAGAGAATGTAAGAATTTAAAATCCCCATACCTTACCAAACTGTTATTGCCATCATTTTAATGCACATTTAGGTTTTTAAAAAACAATTTTCTCTCATAAGCTCGTATGAACCCCAGGAAGGGGATTTTAAAACATTTTCCCCATCCACACACAAAAAGGTACTGTTGGTTTTAATTATTTGCTACTTAACAATGCTACCTTTGGGGATTGCTACAAGACAGACAGAAGCCTTCCTATTCTTGAAGGAAAGTATCTCAGTATTTTTCAAGTCTCTATATTCATTTGTAGTTGAAAGAAAAAAAGAAATGGACTTGAGATATAAATTAATGATGAACATAAGTACTCCTATTATATTTTGTGGTTAGTGTTCTGAATGTTTGTAAAATACACACCTAGTAAAGCACACTGTGATAAAACAGATTTTCAGTAAGATTATAGAATCTGACAAACTAGAACTGGCTTATTTGAGAAAGTAGGGAGATTATCACTGATCAGAAATACTCATAAAAACAGCTTTAAATTCATATTCTGAATCCTATTTTAAGCAGAATAAAGGAAATATCTTCCAAGTATATTACTTCAATAAATCAAATGTAAACACCATCTAGATGGCTCCATGTTACTTAGTATCACACAAAGCTTCCCTCATAAATAGTGAGAACTCATCATCCCACCCCCAACGCTAAATTCATTTATCCCCAGGTTTGGGGAAAAGAATGAATTTATGCCCATTTGATTCTTTTTAAAAAGGATCTGCAGTCTCAAATAATATAATCCAATAGACTATCCTTACTTAAAAGTCAAATTAAAAAAATCACTGATTATTCTGCAATCTTAAATTAGCTGATGACTTCCAAAACACAGTATATAATGACTTTACAAATGTCTTTGAGTCATTTAATCAGTATTAAAAATGATTTAAAGTTTCAAACCAAGTATACTGTAAGAATTAAATCCTAAGCTGCACAGTAACAATTTTAATGTGGTTGTAGTCATAATTAATGCATTTAACTGTATTTGTGTTTTCTTGTTTGGTGCAGGTTAAATGTTTTTCCTATTGCTGAAAAATTTTAATGTATTCAGTCTGTCTCAAAAATTCAAAGACTGAGGTGAATTAGGGATTCAAGTATATGTGAAACAACAGCGTCTTTTTCTTTTTAATCCCACTACAGATGAGAGGCTAAAAGAAAAATCCCTGAAATACTGTATGTTCTTTTTGGACAAGGAGTTAGTCTAACTTTAATACCCTCTTAAAAATCACACACACACTCCCCAAAAAAGAGCTGCCAAACACAATCTCAATTCAGTTAAAATGAGTAGCCACAAGAATATACCAAAGTTTCCATACAGTAATATTCTACTATGATACGAATACTGAAAATTAAAAAAAAAAAAAGTATTATCATTACTACATTCTATTTCATTGATTATCTACCCTTTTTTGGATAATGCACTGCATATTATGTTCTCAAATTGCATCCCAATAAATTTTTATTTAAAAGAAACTATTGCAGAAAACCACGTCTTTGATTCTACCAGCAACTCCCTAATCCTAAAACCATAAGCAGTGCAGAAGCCAAAATACGAATTCTTTTAAGAAATGTGGTGCCCATGCAAGATCAGAGATTGATATCAAAATATCAACTACTCTAAAAAAGAAAAAAAGGAACAAAAAAGTAAAAGGATAAAATTTACATGATCTACTATGAAATGCACACAGGCTCTTCACTGGTGACTAAAACTGCTAAAAAGCAAGCCAATTTTAAAATCCCTAAGTCCCTGATGGCCTATTTCTTTCAATATAAATGGGGAAAACAGAATGAAGTATCACTTTAATGCTCTAATATGTAATCCTTAAGTCTAAGATTCTTGAAAGAAAGACTGCAGCTAGTACTAAATGCATTTTTAATCATAAGTACCATATTAATTTCAGTGTGTCACCACTGAAATAATTTGCTGAACATTAATCCCCCAAAAAATATGGAGAATATTTGTGATATATTTTTCTGCAGGGGGCACCAAAATGTTAAATTGCTAGGTAAATAATAAGACAAGGAAGTTTTTCTGGTTTTAGCCCATGCACAAGTGAACAGGAAATATACATGCCGTGTGTACTGTTTTGAACATAAAAATATTTATAGAATACAGTAACTGGAGAAAAAGTATAGTCAGAAGGTACCAGTGTGTTGTTGGAGGGTTCTCTAAATCTGGTTACCCTTGAAAGCATTCTGAGCCGCACTAGTTGCTGCACTTGAAGCTGCATTTGCAGCTGCAGTCTGGACAGTTTTGTTGGACATCACACCTGTTGCAAATTCTTGCTGGGCTTTCTCAAAACTAGCACCTGTTGTGCGGTATAGTCCATGTACCTGTGGAGGCACAAAAAAGGGGGACAAAGTAAGTGGTCGTCTATACAATCATTTTCAGCAACTCTTCAATTAATCTCAACCTTACCCAGAGATAAAAGGACTAGCCTGCAGCCATGATTCCTAGGGTCAAGAACATCAGCCACCACACTGGCACACAATATTGTATTTAAGTATTCTCCTAACACAGACTTTTCCATTTTATCCCCAATGCGGGAGAGGTACTTATGCTTACGCCGAACTAAAAATAATTTTTAAAACTTCTTAATCAAGTGCAAAAGGCTATGTTTCCCACTGTACCTACTTATTCAAGATACTACAGAGAATGGTTTAAACACAAGAGACATTCAGACTTTAATTTATTAATTTACTATGTAAGACAATTCAAAGAGAATAATACCTTATCTATGTCTATGTTGGCTACATATAAACCACTAACCCTGTTACAATCAAATGATATCATTTAATGTATCAAGCACTACTTATGGTCTTAAAGATACTTCTGCTACCCTCTCTCACTCTGTATACCATTTTACTTTTTGTGTACAGTGGAAGTCCTAAAGGATTTACAAAGAAAAACTTTTGGAAACTGTCCGTCCATACTGATTTATCACTTAAATCTTTGGGATTTATTTGCAAGAGCAAGGTTCAAAAATACTCTTTCTATTAGCATATGTTGCAAGAGGCATAAACTATGAAGTGTAACAATAGTCAGCCAATTTAATATAAATTTGAGAAAAGAATAATAAAACAAATTAGAATATTTATTTATTACATGCCTACAAACTTGGGTGGGTGGGCAGAAGAGACAGAAAGGGAACTTAACACTGCATTTTGATGAAGTCTAAATAAAGCCTGCCTGAAATGCAATCAAAGCAGGTTTGGAACATCGGGGCAGTGCACCCAAGTCAGTCTTTTTCCCAATCCTGGATAGGGACTGATACTCGTGGAGTAAATATGGAATGAGGAAAAAGAGAATGAATCAAAGATTTTCAAGTCAAGCTTAGATACTGTGAAGTTGTTTCAAGAGAGAGAGAAGAGACAAGACAGGTTGCTTTAGAGGGGAAAGGAGATGCTAAGTTCTAAACATTCATACATTCCACAAATGTTTAGATACCTACTCTAGACCTGCTATAGCAGGCAGGTGAAGATTTGGTTTGGGGCTCAAGAGAGGAATGGGCAGGAAACAGGGACCTGAAAAGCAATGGCACATCAGTGGTAGCTGCAACTCTGACATAAATAAAATGGTCCATGGAGGAAAAAAAGAAAGAGAGTCAAGTACCAAAGTCTGTTAAGATACCAATATTTAGGAGGTACCCACAATAACAAGGAATAATTAAAAGAGGAATGGGAAAAGCCAGAGACTTTTTCACAGGTGCCAAGGGAAGAAAGCCACATTAAGGAATAAAGAGCTGCCCAGGGTGGAAGATAAAAATACCCAGACAGCCGTAAGTTCTTTTGACATAGTGGTGAAGGCAAATGCCATATTACAGTGGAACAAAGTGTAAAAGGGTCAAGGAATAAAAGAGAGTGCTGACAAGTACACTTTAGGTAAACCCTAAAATTCTTTTCTTCTAGTACTATGGCACTATCATAATTTAATTCTTTTAATACTTGGAGAGAATGATGAGAAAATGACTTTTTCACATGCTGGTGAACTGAACATTATATTGTATCTCTTTTTTGTTCCCTTCTCTCTCCAGGGATAATCTTTATGCATTATCCAAAGTTATTGTTATGACACACAAAAATGGTTCCAAACAAAATTGCTGATCCTTGCTTATAAACACAAAGGGATCTGAAATATTAATCTTCATAGTTTGTCAAACGTCATTCCATTACATGATCACTTCCTGTTCTGTAATTTTGATCAACATCTTCAAAAGCATTTCTTCATGTTGGGAATTTTCAGAATCATAAGTAATTATTTTTATTCCTTTTTAAAATTTTTTTTAAAGATCTATTGAATTGAGAGTGAGTGAGCGAGTGGGGAGGGGCAGAGGGAGAGAGAGAATCTCAAGCAGACTCCTCCCTGAGCACAGAGCCCAATGCAGGGCTTCATCTCACAACCCTGAGATCGTGACCTGAGCCAAAACCAAGAGTCAGACACTCAACCAGCTGAGCCGCCCAAGCGCCCTATTCCCTTTTTAAAACCAAGTTTTCTGTGGAACATAAAAGACACAGATAAATTACCACTCCTATATTTAAGAAAATGATCTCAAAACAGAGTTCATACGATTAAGCCCAAGAGAATGAAGTATGTTATAGAAATCTGATAAACCTTTACTTACTAGACCCTGTCACAGTGCAATGCCACCACAGTTCACTTGTCTGTCTCTCCTCCTTTCCCCCCAAGTTTAAGGGCATGTAACAAACAAATGTTTGTTCTAACTTGCTTTGTTATTTCCTTTCCCAAATGTGTTTTAAATTGAGTGCCTGAGGTTACATATTCAATGGGTTTCATATTTCATTACTTAAAAAATGTAATGCATAGTCCCAGAGCAGGAAGGCAAAATAAAGGTAGAAGAGCACACATTTCTCAGTAGTCCAAATCCATAGAGACTCAGAGAGCCACCTAGAGGGAAAAGATTACATAAGTATTCAGTACATAATGCTCAAATGCTGTATGAAATCCATTATATCCATGTGAAAAGGGTGATTCTTTTATCAGTGCTCCAACAACATGACAGGCTAATTCTAAGTATCACCATCTCAAAAAGCTCATCATTTCCCTGCTATGTTTCAGAGTGATATCTACTGATAGCTCACATTCCTTATGAAATTAGGGACAAAGCTTTAAGATAAAATATTATAATTTTTAAAAACCGAACAGCTTAAATACTTGCTATTCTCCCAGTTATGAGAACTGCATTAACCTAAATATTTAGTTCTAGGAGCAACACAGAAAGAACACTAGATTTGGTATCTACTGATTCCACTACTTTCTACCTGGCTGGTCACCACACAAAACCTCAAGTTTAGGGGTGCCTCAATCAGCTGAGGGTTGAGCATCTGCCTTCGGAGTCCCAGGATCCAGACCCACTTCGGGCTCCCCGCTCAGTGGGGAGTCTGCTTCTCCCTCTGACCCTCCCCCCCATGCTCTCTCTCACTCTCTCTCAAGTAAATAAATAAAATCTTTAAAACAAAACAAAACAAAACAAAAAAACCCTGAAGTTTACTTCCCATGAAACAAGGTATTTGTTGCCCTGTTCTCTCAAAGTTTTCCTAAGGATCAAATGGGAATTATGTAAATATGTAATATGTAAATATGTAACAAAAATTAAAATTAACTTTTCAGTATCTGCAGAAGAGTCACAGCCAAGATACAAGTCCAGAAGGGAATCTTGCTTCCTCAGTGTATACTGTGGTGGTATATGACACAAAAAATTATGTACTATATACTGTGGAAAGAACCATGGTACAGTACTTAAACAAAATAATCCAAACATTTATTTCCATTAAAGCTTAGTACTTGAGTTCAAGAAGTGATGCTTTTATAAATATAAGATGCCTGTTATGCCAAAATTATTTTAACTTTTTTAAAACCTGGGAAAAAATGAAGAAATGAATTTTTGAAATTTTAATTCTTATTTTGAGTTTTTAAAAAACTTACCAATCTCTTAGTCTAATGTTTTCCACACTTGATCTTAGCCAAAAGGACAAGAAGCAACAGTCTAATGTTTTCCATTAAACATTTCCTATAAACCATCTGTGAACCTCCCATAGATTGGGGTCAGATACTCCTTCTGTAACCTCCTGAATTAATACTCTAGTTTCACACTATTGAAATCCCACTCATCCTTCGAGGCCTACCTCATACACTGCTGTCCTCTTTCTGCCTGACCTAGCTGTGGCTCTCCCTATTGTGAGCACCTCCAATACACTGTATATCTTTGAGGGATGTATAGAGTGCTTTTTCTTTTGTAGGGTTTGTAGGTATACATGTCTTATATCCCACATGCTTTTGGTTTCTTGAGGGGAAGGGCTAATTTTCACTCATTGTTATATCCCCTGTAATACAGAGTAACTTGCTGGGGCATCTAGCTGGCTCAATCACAGACCATGCAACTCTTGATCTTGGGGTCATGAGTTCAAGCTCCACACTGGGTATAGAGCTTGCTTTAAAAAAACAAAAAACAAAACAACAACAAAAAAAAACACGACATAATGATTTGCAGTAAAAGCCACTATATAATTAATTACTTGTTTATCTGTTAGGGATTAAATAAATGGCCCAAAATTACCCTGTTTACAAAGTTACCAAAGAAGTACAATACTGCTCTAGCAGATTGTATCTGTGTTACAAAGTAAATTGCTTAGTTTGCAATTACCTCACAGGCTGTTTTAAAAGTGAACATACTAGGGAACTTTAACCCCCCACTTACATCAATAGATAGATCATTCAGGCAGAAAATCAATCAAGGAAGGAGTGGCTGTGAAGGACACATTAGGCTAGATGGGCTTAATACACACACACAGAACACCTCATCAAAAACAGCAGAACATACATTCTCTTCAAGTACACATGAACATTCTCCAGGATTACATATTAAGCCATGAAACAAATCTCAATAAATTTAAGAAGACTGGAATCATATCAAGTATCTTTTCTGACCACAATGGTATTAAACTAGAAATCAATTAAAAAAACTGGACAAAAACATATATACCTGCAGGCTAAACAACGTATTACCAAACAACCAATGGGTCAACAAAGGAATCAAAAGGAAATTAAAAAAAAAAAACATTCAGACAAATGAAAATGGAAACCCAGCAGTTCAAAATCTTTGAGACAAAGTAAAAAAAGACCTTAGAAAAAAGTTTAAAGCAATACAGGCCCACTGCAAGGAAACCAGAAAAATCTCAAACCATCTAACCTTATACCTAAAGGCACTAAAAACCAACCAAACAATGCCCAAAGTTAGTAGAAGCAAGGAAATAATAAAGATCAGACTGGAAATAGACAAAATAGAGACAAAAACAGAAAAAAAAAATCAATGAAA